GAGAGAGAGAGAGAGAGAGAGAGAGAGAGAGAGAGAGAGAGAGAGAGAGAGAGAGAGAGGGAGGGAGAAAAAGGTATGTTTGTTGACACCCGTCTTATGACAGAGCAAGGCAATGGACCGATGCAGGTTTCGTCTGATCTACAATTTCATTGCATAGGGAAAACATCGTCATGACAATTCCCCTTCTTCTTCCCCTTCTTCTTCTTCTTCCTCTTCTTCCTCATATTCATCTATGTGGTCCTGTCTCTCCCTCATTCTATTCTCGTCATGTGTATAGATATCTTACACCTATGGTACTACACACTCTCTCTTCATGAACAACAAGCAGCAGAGAGGAAGAAAAAAAAAACATTCATCATATCCTCATATCCTCCAGTATCACCTTGTACTCCTTCCTCTTCTTGGGAATCTTACTAAACTTTTGCTTGACTTTGCCAATCAACCTCGCCAATACAGGCAAGAATTGTCTCTCGGCCAGATAAGAAACTGCAAAAGCCCCCAGTCCGAGCGCGAGGATGAAGATTCGGAAATTAGCACTCATCCACGTCAGTTCCATGGCGTCTTCTACCCAGGGTGCCGGGTCGAAAAGCATGTAGCTGGAAACACCCAATGCGACGGCCATGGTGATGACGAAAGGTAGGTTGTGTCGCATGGATTGTCGGAAAGGTTTGCCAATGGAAAGCACAATGGCAGAGAGGATGTACTGGTAGCAGGACAAGAGAAACAGCGTCGTATTCTCCGAGTTCTTCGAGTTGGAGTGCTCGGTATCGAGGACCGGAGGTTGATACCAAGGTTGTTTACGAACGAAGAACCAGCCGATGAACTGGAAGACGATGGTGATGACAATCTGGCCGATGAGGGGCGTCAGGACTTTTCGCGACACCAAGGAAGCTGTAGGTCGCTTTCGTGATAGAGAAGGATAAGGCCCTGTCCAACCCATGAAGATCGCAATGGGTAGGATGAGGAGTAAATCAATGTACAGAAATTGAAAGTCGCCCAAGTTCGAGGCGGAAGCGTAAAGGAAGCTGACCGAGGTGAACTGGATGGCAGAGTACAGTGACATGTACTTGAAGCAGCTGAAAGATGTGACAAGTGCAGCACGACCTTCGCGAATGACTTCTGGCACGCAAGAAATGTCAAAGACGCGGCTGGTAAATGGTGCTGCGACAGAGGCTTCGGCCTCGGAAAGCGAGATGCCCACATCAGCGGCTTTGAGCGCACCACAGTCATTTGCGCCGTCGCCACAGAAGCCCGCGCAGTAGTCGATACTTTGCAGTTTCTCAATGAGCTCGTGCTTCTCGTCAGGCGACATGCGAGCGAACACTTGACCAATGACCAGCATTTCGCGCAGGACCTTGGGAGATGCAAAATCAATGATCCAGCGGAAGACATCGCCAGTCACTGCGACGGAGTAATTGCGCAAGTTCGAGACATCGTAAGGCAGTGAGGAGTCGTGCTCGGCGGGAGGTGGTAGCGGTTTCAGCGTGTTCTCATCCAACTGGTATATGGGGTTGTCAACTGACTCCCAAGCAAGCTTCGAGAGGGCAGTATGCGCATCACCTTCCACAAAGTGGGGTACAAAGCAATGTGCAGACTTGTCGACCAGTCCACACTCCCTCGCGACACTGATGGCAGTCAAGATGTTGTCGCCAGTACACATGACGGTGCGGATGTTGGCTTCTCGAAGTTCGGTAATGATGTCGGTCGTGGTGTCTTTCAACTTGTTCTCGAAGATGATGAAGCCCACAAACTCCAAGCCGGACTCTACGTCCTCGCGCTTCATCTTCTGTACTTTTAACCAATTCAGTTTGAAAATGTGCTTTGTGGCACATGCAATCACACGGTAGCCACGGTGAGTGTAGTAGGCCAGAAGATCGTTATAATCGGGAGGAAATGAGTCTGGTCGGCAGATTCCCTTCATGGCCTCGGGCGCACCCTTGACGTAGACATCTCCACTCTTCTCACCGAACTGTCTGACCACGACACTGGCACGGCGGAGTTGAGATACAAACTCGAAAGATCTCAGCACACCGAGCTCGATGGCTCTTCTACTATTGGGCGTGCCCTGCTCCTCGTCGAGGTCAAACTCCATGCCAGGTGGTGGACGTGCGACCGAAGGCGACAAGGACAATTCCTCCTCCTCGTCACCCAGATCACCACTCTCTGCACCTTCCTCGTACTGCCAGCCGGTCCACTCGAACATCTTCAAGTCAAGTGGATCTCCAATGAACTCATCATCGACAATACGCAAGGAGTGGCAAGTGGCCATGTTGTACAAGATCGCCTTGTTGGCGTTGTAGTCTGCGGTAGGATCACGCTCGTAAAGTGCACCAGGCAGAAGTGTGCTGGAATCCGTGAGCAGTTCCGAGAAACGGTTCGCAGGTCTCGAGACGACGCGAACGCCAAGCACGTCTAACCCATCCTCGGTCAATGTGCCAGTCTTATCGAAAGCCATGACGTCGATCTTGCCTCCCACGTTGACGCGCTGGGGACTGATACAGAAGATCTGCTTGGCTTTCAGTCGACTCAGAGCGAAGTTGGTGCCAATGGTCAAAGTCGCCGGCAGTGCCGGTGGTACGACAATTGTAATGAGATCGAGAGCGCGGACGATGATGAGATGCCATTCGAGTCCCAAGCGGATGAAGTTGACCAGCGACGCGATGAACCCCACTGCAGCGATCATGCCCATAACGGAAATGTATCGGAAAGAGTCTCTGTAGAACTTGAACCCAGATGGCTTGGGAAAGAGCATGGAGCGGACTAAAGCACCTTTCGTCGTATTGAATCCGGTCCTGACCACAAGAGCGAGTGCTGCAGCCTCGTCACTTTTGTCGTCCTGTGGTCTCCTTGCACGGATGATCTTGGTGCCGCTGAACAACATATGCTTGGCGACATCGGCATGTATTGCAGACGCGGACAGGTTCAGCATCTCGAGAGTGTCATCTGTGGCCGGTGTCTTCGAGACAGGTACGGACTCGCCCGTCAACATGCTTTCGTTTACAATGCAATCTCCAGAGAGCAAGAGACTGTCGCATGGGAACTGACCCAGGTTGGGGTCTGTTACTTCATACACATCTCCCGGAACCAACTCGCTGGAATCCACGTATCGCCAAAACCCGCCTCGCAGGACTCGGATATCGCATTCGAACTTTGCAATGTCGCGCAAACGCTTCATGGTTGCCTTCGTCTCAATCAAGGTAGTAGCGACGCTGACGATGGAGATGACAAAGATACAAGCCGCATAGTAATAGTACTCGTCTGCCGACCACAGGATGATACTGGCAACTTGGAAGACGTAGAACGGGTGGAAGGCTTCGTCCATGAGTAGCTGTCCCGTCGTCTTCTTCTCCAGATCGATGGCATTCTTGCCAAAGATGCGTTCTCGCACTTCCTGCTCTTCCCCGTCAATGCCCCGTCGAACGGCCAGCACATCAGTCCAAGCTGGGTCTTTCCACGTGTTGCCAAGCACAAACTTATCTTTGAGTGGGTGGTAGCAGAAGCGAATATATCTGTAGTCGAGAATGCGGAGTTCGTCCAAGATGGGATCGTCGTACTCATCGTAGTCCTGCCACTTCGCCCGGCTAATACCAAACACAGAGGACAAGCTCTGCCCAAACTCCTGCTTGCTCAAACTCTGGATCGCCATCTCTCCCCATTGATTCTCAATCACGACCCAGTCGGCTTCTCCAAGTGGCGTTGACCTGCCCACCAGCATGACATGCCATCTAGGTAGCCACCGCAGAACTAGATACGCCAACCCTGCCGTACATATGCACAATGCCAAATAAGCTGCGAAGCCGAAGGTAGACGTCTTGAAACCAGCCGCCACTATAGTCATGTCCTCCGTCACGATGTATATCTTCTGACTGATTCTTCCTCCAACACGGAAACCACTAGTCTGCGAGTCTTGCGAGTGGTTGCGACGGAGAAGAGGGCTTTGCACAGAGTGTCTGCTAGGGTCTGTGGACCTGCGCGATCTCTTTGAGTGGTCTGATCCATGGCTGCCATGCCTTCGACGCGACGTGACGGATCCATTTTTGGGACTCTCGCTTGGGCCATAAGTTCCATTCATCTCGGGCTCGACGAAGGTGCTGTCCCCACTCAGTTCTCCGTTCTCCAACGCCTCGACCTCTTCGTCATCATACAGAGCATCTTCAGGGAGCTCTTCTGAATCGAAGTCTCGCTCCTCTTCGTAGTATGCAAAACTGGTGACTGAGTTGGTGCGCGATCGCCGGTGGAAAAAAGAACTGGACGCCGTGGGCACGCTCTCTGACATGGGCCCAGAGAAGATCTCGTCTTGGGCCATCTCAACGTCGCCAATGAAGCTAGCCTCGCTCATATTGGACTCTCGCCGGCGATAGACACCGCGGTGCCGCTCGGGTGAATAGTCCTCGGCCATTGTGTCGTGTGCTTTCGTGGTAACGGGGTGGACGGTCGAGGCGGACGTGAAGGAAGGAGCCGAAAGGTTCTGGTGGTTGCGGTGAAGGGCGTTGCGGCCAGTCGATTCCGCGGAGCGTGCGAAGCGAGTGCTATTGCATATTGGACGTCTACCTGTGCGTGTGCTGGTCCAAGAAGGCGATCCGGGACGTGTCTCTCTACCAAAACGACTTTGCAGGGCAAGTATTAGTCGTTAGTCGGGTGTGTTATCAGGTGCAGATAAAGTTCTCTGGACCGGCCCGTAAAGCGAGCTTGCCTAGCCGTTTCAGTAGTAGCTCGAAGCTTGATCAGAGGATCCATGTCCGACGACGCGGAACCCTCCCGTCGACTTATCTTCGACCTCCCCTCAGGAGCATCGACCTCCAACTTTCTCGAATTGACTTCCACTCCCGACTTCCGTCACAGTCAAAGAGACTCTGGCATACAGAAGTCACCGCATGACTCTGCCTCCCCTTGCTCCTGTACCCATCGATAACGCCACTCCGTCGACGTCGGGCACGCTTTCGCGCTGCCTCGAGCACACGCTCGGCCGAAGCGCTCCGAGCACCTTCGGTCATGCGAAACAGCCCATACCATCATTGTTGCACGACCGAGAGGCGATTATCTCACTGGACGCATCCCGAAAATGTCCAGTGTCGGACCCCGGAGCCTGACCACTACGGAACGTCGATTCGTTGCACAGAAAAGGTCACGGGATTGGCGGGTCTGATTGCTCAATATGCCCACCGATCCCTTCCTACCGGAGGGACGACAGTTCCCTCGTACGCGATCACCCGACGCTGGTGGAGGCAGTGATCGCAAACGTCGCAGGAAGGTTCTGTCCTGCTACGACTGTCGAAGACGCAAGCTGCAGTGCGACCGCGCTCTCCCTGCGTGTGGGCGTTGCACAAAGGCTGGGCAGGCTGCGAACTGTCTGTATTTGGAAGATGCTACTGACGCACCCATTCGAGAAGAGCCTCTGGTCACTCCTGGTTCACATAAGCTACCTCCGTTCTACGGCCTCTCTACACGACCTATTGGTGCAAATGCACCTTCTGGGGACCTTCTATCACGACTGGAGTATCAGGATGGCCGTATCAAGCAGCTTGAGGCGGCTCTGGTCAAGGCCGGTGCGCCAAGTGGCAAAGCACAGATGCCCCCTACACCCGAGTCTATGGCCGGCAATGGTGCTTTGGACACTATGGCTCCAGTTCAGGACCGAGAGACGACCTTGTTGCGTGGCCACTCGTTCCGAACTCAATTCCATGGAAACACACATCCGGGCGCCTTGATCGCTCGCATCCCAGAGCTGCACGTATTTACACGAGGTATGCAAGTTTAATCTTCAGGCTTTATTCGCAGTGACAGAAGTCGTACTCTGTGAATCGTTGTTAGAAGAACAGCTTTTGGTACTCTAAGCTCACTGTGTGGTAGAAACGTTTGAACAATTTCCAGCCCTCTCCCGGATAAAGGAGGATATGGCATCGCTGGAGGTGCGGACTGAGTACGCAGGGTCCAAACATGGCTCGGTCGAGGACGAGGCATTGAAGTCACTACTGCCACCGAGGGCTGAAAGTGATCAGTTGATTGAGATTTATCTCGAGAACTATGGCAATCTGTATAACGTCCTTCACCTGCCATCTTTCTGGACCGAATATCGAGATATGTGGAATCAGGGGACACCAAGCGCGAAACCTCATTTTGTCGCTCTTCTGCTTGCCATGATGGCTGCTGCTAAATGCTTGAGTACAACGTCGCCATGGTTGTACAGAGCCAATAGCTCGACGGCCCGCGAGACGGCTATATCATGGGTGTCATCTGTTGATGACTGGCTTGTCTCGCAGAGCCAGAAGCACGTATCAGCGATTGATTTTCAGCTCAGAGTGGTGCTTCTGTTAGCGAAGAACGTGACCGCTCGTAAATTTAAACGCACCTGGACCGAATGCGGGAATGTGCTTCGCTTTTGCATGGCGGCGGGTCTGCATCGAACACCTGAACTGATTCGCAGACCAACATCAGTTCTCGACAAGGAACTTCGAAAGCGAGTATGGGCAGCTGTCACTGAGCTTGAGCTGCAGGCCTCGTTCGATCGCGGCATGGTATCGGCGCCATGGAATCTGCAGTCGGACTGCCCGGGGCCAGCTCACGTGCACGACGATGACATTGATCAGGAAACGCAACACCTACCTGCCATGCGACGATTCAACGACTTTACTCCCACTTCTTTCCTCTGCCTAGCAAGCGAGTCGCACCAATTGCGCGCAACTCTTAATACATACCTGAATAATATTCGTCAGCCAGTATTATTTGAAGAAACCAAGCGCTATACGGATGAGATTGAATACCATCTGCAGAACATTCCCGACTGGCCCGAAGCGCCTTCTGCAGCGATGGTTCCTAAGGCGATGCTGGAAATTAACTTGAGGCAACTATTACTCGTCCTCCACGACCGCCAACTTCGCACGGCGGAAACTAAAGCGGAGCGCGACTTCAGCCGAATGATTCTGGTGGAGACGGCAACAAAGATGGTACAAGCACATAAAGCACTCACCTCGAAAGGTAGCTATGCGCTCGAGCTGCTGTGCTACGATCAGCTTCGTGCTGGGATGTCATTGTGCCACATATCCGCAACCAATCCTCACAGCGACGATGCGCTTGGGCATGCAATCGACAAGGCCGCTTTCGACCTCGTGCCAGAGTGCTGCGAGATGCTCACAGACAAAGTTATTCGTTTTGGACGCGAGCAGCGACAACTTTGGATTCTGCTGGCAGCACATGGATACATGAAGAGCAAGAAAGATCCCTCGAAAAAACTGATCTACATGCAGGAAGCAGTTGAAAAGGTCACGCGACCATACTACAAGATCATGGCATGTCAAGAGAATGCTCCTGCACAGCCCAGTGTACCGAAAGGCACGGCGACCACGCAGATGGCACCACCGCCACGACAAGCTTCCACGCCACGCGAGGCAGGCATGAGTCAAGCTCATTCTGTGATGAGCTTCTATGCTTCGAGTACAGCGGGTCAAGCAACGGCAGCCGGAGGCAATGCTGCGATGGCGGATCCTACGGCGCCGCTGGATCTTGATGAGCTTGCTGCATGGACGTTTGAAGATTGGTCTTTCAATCCCGCAGACTTGGCCGCTATGAACATGAGCGGAAACTTCGGACAGACGCCCCAGGGTGGTGGTGGTGGTATTGAAACATTCGACGGCGCCGCTCAGTACCCCGATCGAACTTCGTGACGCCCGCGGACCCTGGTTCGCGAGCCTCTTTTTTTTTCACAATCACGCGGAAGCCCGACTGCCAACAAAAGTGCATTCTGGTTGGTCTGGGCATTCGAGCGACTCCGTATCTGACGCACTGCCTTCATACCGCTCTCGGCTGTGCATCCGGTAACCCTTGGGCACCTGGCACTGGTTATCCTATCCGGAGCTCTCGGAAGACCCGCTGTGCTGACGACCGTCACATGGAGATGGTATTATTATATTGGTATAAATACACTTCACGTCCGGGGTGTCGGCAGCCGTAGCATGACACGATTGGACACTGTCACTTTTGCGCACTGGGAAAGTTGGCCGCGCCACCAAATAAGAGTAGGCTGTGATTCGCAGCGCGGTCCGTGCGCGCTGTCCCGAGACGGAAGTTGACTAGCCTATTTCAGGAGTCTGAGCACAATAGAGTCCGGGGCGGACGTTGATCCGAATAGCTTCCTCCCAGGGCTCCCGAGTCCTTCGTGTCAACGGGGAACGTCCATGTGCTCAGCGAACAACATGCCACACATTCCGATAGCTTTTCCTTCGGTTTCGTACTGTGAAACGAGAGCAGTGTCGAATGGTGTGAGGACTTGGCTCTATGTGCGTCCGAGAAGCAGCGCAGCTGGCCTGGAATAGAGATTGCCAACGAAATAGGCTATAATAGCTATACGACAAGGTTGCTGGAGACTAATATATATATACTATCAAAAGTGCTGCCACCAACAGCTATCCATCTCCTCACCAACACACTCTTCTGGACGCTTTTCCCCCGAACCAAAAAAAACCCCCCAACCAGAGAAAAAAACACCTCCGCTCCAACAACAACAGCAACAAAATCAACAACCGCAACAATGCAGCCCACCACCATCTTCACCACTTTGCTCCTCGCAGCATCCGCCCTCGTCGACGCATCTGCCATCAACCCCAAGTATGCTGCCCTAATTGACAAGCGCGCTCTCCCCTCCGAGCAGGGCTGCCGCGCTTGTCCCAACGGCGATCAAGTCGGTTACGGCGAAGCGTCAGCCAAATGGTCCAGAATCGACCCTTCCATCGTCGCCGATGCCAAGGAATCGTTTGACAAGACCTTTCCGGCTGGCTACGAACCTCAACTCTGCTCGCAGCCGGGTATTAACTGCATGACTTCGTCCGCAGACGTCAAATGGACGGGTGTGGGCGGTTTGACAGCACGATGGGGAAGTTGGGCGAGATCTGATGGAAGTATGTATTCTCTCTTCTCCTTTCCGTCTCCTTTCCTCCTCCCACTACGACGCATCACATGCTAACCAAACGCTCTCTTTAATAGCAATCGTCAACGCCTGGCCACACTGGCAATCTACTCTCCAATGGGCCGGCCCCGGCGGCTCCGGCACGACGTATAATGCCCACTGCGTAATTTTCACCTGTGCCAAGGGCAAAATGCAAGCGCAAATCACCAACAATGGGCAGCTAGTGGGCGAGGTCAAGGGTGATGGTAAAGGGGATAACTCGGCCGTAAACAGATGTGACTGCTTTTATGATTTGGATTCGGATATTTACTTCAGTCTGATGTAAAAAGGGGAACAGAAAGAGCAGAGGAAAGAGTGGATGGTGATGGATGACTTTTTTTCTTATTTCTTAATGTGATGGCGGAGTCTGGCTTTACACCGGCAATGAAATGGGATCATGAAGGATTGGACACAAACAGAGTATGGACACGGACAAAGACAAGTCTACTACTTATAGTACTATATAGTTAGAGAGAGAGATAATGTGATTTGTATGTTGCAATGCATTGTATACACTATACACCTACCTCTTGTTGTTTTTCTATTTTCTATTTTCTTTTCCTTTTCTCTTCTTTTTTTTCTTTTTTTTCGATTTTCTTTTTCTTTTTTTTCTTTTTTTTTCTCACCAGGTCTTTCTGTCGAAGAACTCGAGGTGCTCCAAAACAGTCGGTGTGAGATGGCATCATCCAACAGCTATCAGGCAAGGTAGTGTACCCGGGTAATCACAAGGTCCAGAACAAATGGTGGTACTGTTGTTGTTGGGGGTGGTTTTTCACTTTTTCTTGTTTTTTGGTTCCCCGGCCCGCGCTCCTCCATTAGGTAGGTACACCACTGTACTGGTGACTTCACTGGTTTGACCGGGGGGGGACCTCACAGAGTTCTGAGTTCTCTGGACAAAAAATTAAATGGCTCAGGCCCAACACCAACAATAACAACAACAATGACAGTAACAACAATATCTCTGCTGGGATCGGAGTCACGCCTGCGATTGCGTCGAGTGTGATTGGTTCTACTGTAAATTACCTGATGTTTGTTTGTTTGGACGTTCGATAGAGACTTTTTTTCATGTATTGCTAGGTAGGGATAGGACACTGCCTCGGCCCTCTGGTCGATCCGTGACCGGGGTCGGTAGACAGCTAGGTGGCTAGGTGGCTAGTTTTTTCTTTTTGAATAGAGTTCGGCCAAAGGCTTGACAGTCTGTGGTGGATCCACTGGGTCGCCTCGTGCTTGTAATGTCTATGTACCTGGTATCTATTAATTAATTCTGGCGAGACCACACGGTTTCTCGAAATAGAATGCGTGATTTGTTGTATTTATTGGCTTCATTCAATTGGGTTGGGGTCGAATGGTTGGAGTCGAATGGTTGGTTGGTGGCCCAGGCGTCCTTGGCAGTCAGGATGGCCATTGTTGTCGTGTAATAATTCCCGAAAATTTGGCGTCTGCCATTGCTCTGCTGCCTCTGCAGCAGTAGGGACATGTAAAATTACGCGTGAGGCCATCGGCAATTCGGCATTTGTGAAGATCAAGATGAATACGATTGAGGCTGTGATATGATGATGATGATGATGCACAGTGGCGGGATACCTAGATGTATGCTGCATGTCAGCACGCTAGGCATTTAGCAGACCCGTCAACCGTCTATGGCAGAACGGTACAGCATAGCTACATACTTAGCTGCAGAATGGTGGTATGGGGGAATTCCATCATCCAGGCTAAGTATGGAAAAAAGAAGGGCAGAGTGTAATCAATACGGACCATACGGTATACCTTACCTCAGGTAGGTACCGAGGTACCTATTGTACCTTGCTTTCGCCGACGGCAGCACAGGCGGTGAGAGGCAGATACCTGGTAGATAGGTGGTAGTGGACCACATTGTTGGCGCTGTGCCTCAGGCAATCAATATCATTTGATGTGTCTGTGTTCCTGAGTGAGTACATCTGTACATGTAAGCTACATGTAAGCTAGGTACGGGACCTAGGATGTACTTACCACCTACCACCTACTGTCTCGTCCTCCCTACAGGCTTGGCGACACACATGAATGAGTGCGGTCGGAGTAAAGTGAAACAGCTGTTGCGTTCATCAATGCTTGCACGACTCCTCGTGCCGTTCCGTGCTGCATCCGTGAGGCCAGTCTGGCCAGACGAGGTGTCCAGTCAGCGCAGTCACCACACAAGTGACCACCAGCCGGGCGCCGGGCGGATGCGACAAGGCATATATAGTCATTTAGTAACCCAATACGAGAGTTTCGACGACTGTGGCCTGCAGCAACTTCCAAGATTCGATCCGTTTCCCATCTCACGAGATGCATGTGATGGACTGCGATCGGGTCCATGGCAGATGAGGCTCCCGCAGAAGATCTGCTCCGGAGGTATCAGCCACACCAGACAACGTCCGCCGTCCTCCAGTTTCCAGGACTTCTTCGTTGCCGACTACCTATACTGTCCACTGATATTTCCGTTCTTCTTCTCGGTCGCGAGATGGCGGGTCATACATTGTTCCAGATCCTGTTTCCCAGTTGCCGTCTCTCTCCAGCCTGATATCAGCCGCTCTCCGCCGTCGTCGCTGGACATCATTGCACCAGCGCGCACATGATGGTGGTGTGAATTGGCCATGATGACGCATGGGGGGAGCGAGGGAGAGAAATGGAGGCGGAGGTGGAGGCGGAGGCGGAGACGAGACGCGAGACGAGACAGACGGCGAGAAGGACAGGCACGGGAGCGGAGCTGCTGTTTCATGTTCGCCAAGCCAGGCCCGGGTTTGTTTACTTTGTCGATCAACACACGACATGATTGCATTGAATAGCAGTAGGTAGGTCTTACTGTATGTATGCACCCCATGCCTCTCGGCTCTCTCTCGCTATACACCAGTCAACTGCAAGTAACACTACTTCTCCAGATCGGCTAGGCAAGCTCCCTGATCACATCACTATCTTACTACCTCTCCCTGTACCTGTGCCTGCAGCTTCGATCCCGGCTCCAGTAGCAGCTGTATGCGTTTCCGGCCCTCAGCAACGGCCAGATCCACGCGTATCGTGAACCGTCTAACGTCGACTCTCGCAATGCGCCAGACCCTTCGACAACATCTGGATTAATCGAGACTGGTGCGCACTGTCACCGCCATGGGCGTGCCGGGCGAGCTTCCTCGTTTCCCGTGCTGGTGCAGGGCTACATACTCGTGGGGAGGAGAGTCGAAGAAGGATCTCGGCTTCATCGAGGGCGACCTGATCGAGGCGTTGAATGCGGGCGATGGGTCGTGGTGGATGGGTCGACTGCGACGCGATCCCCGAGCTATTGGCTTGTTTCCCTCCAACTTTGTCACCGTGCTGGAAGAGTCCTTTACGCCTGCGCCCAACAGCCGCACCTTCACTCCCACCACGCAGCAGCCGAAGCACAACGTGTCCAAGAGCAAGTCCGTCTTTCGGAAACCTTACCAGGCCTACGAAGTCTTTGGAGCGCGGGGCAGCTTGGACAACAGCAAAGAGGGCACTCCTGAAAGCGAGCCGGACAAGAAGAAGGAAAAGAGCAAGTTCAAGCCATATTCAAGCATGAAGACGGCGCAGGCACCTACGGGAACAATACAGAGGCACAACGGCGTGGCAGTGATACCAAAGGATAACGGGCCTCGAATTCCGGAGCCTGTGCCCAGGTACAGTGCTTCGAGGCGTGCTAGAAGTCCACTCCCAGCACAGGACAGGCCTGTTCACGCGCCACCTGCTTCACCGAACCCCGTGCCTGCATCTGGCCATGCGGGCTATGTACCCTACCGACCGCCTTCAGCCCAGCCCACATACGATGCACCTTCTCGTTCCCGGTCGCCTTTGCCTGCTTCATACCACGATGGTTCCGCGTACCCACAGATGCTGCCCACCTCTCGTCAGCCCTCGCCAGCGCCGTACGATGACTCGTCCTCCTATCACCCACGAGCACAGTCTCCTCTGCCATTCGACAACGTCCAGCACTATTCTCGAGCACCTTCGCCGCTGAACCATTACGAAGATGATCTGGGCTCTCCTCCACCACCCCCGCCGCCTGCGCATCGTATTGCCTATCAACAGAGTAGAGCTTCCTCTCCAGACTGTGAAGAGCCCATGCATCCCGGATACTCGAGAAACGGGACACACACACCGGCCCCACCCTCACCCTGTGGTAGTCATATGACACCATCTCCCCTCAGAGCGGCGATGAACGATGTCATGTCCTCTTTACACGATATGACATCGTTTTCGCAATCGCCGCCTCCTGCAACCAGAAAAGAACCATCGCCGCCTAATGTGTGGTCTCCCGATGCATTCGAGCAGATCAGAACCAGCACAAGAGAGCAATCGCGTGCGCAGTCTTCGTTGGGCTTCGCATCCCATCGGCAGCTCGAGGACTATGGATTAGCTAGCTTGCATCTGCCTGCGATTCCTTCCTCTCACGATGATGGTGCTGGTGACAACCACTACGTGCAGCGGATGGAGCAGCAGCTGCGACATGCCAAGTCATTCTCCGATCAAGCACCGCAACCGCCCCTCAAAGATGCACAGTATTCTGCTCGACCAACCACTTCCAGTAGTGGCTCCAGTCAAAACTCGAATGGCCGACAGCCCCAGTCTCGGCAGCAACATCCGCAGCTACGACATCGGAAGTCTGCATTTGAGGTGGCACCGAGAGCTTTGGACAGAACCTACACGACCAAGACGAATGTGACAAATTCCACGGAGACATCTTCTGCGACGCAGAGTAGCACGAGTACCCAACTGACCAGCCGAAGCATCATGTCTGGGTACTCTGCTGGAGGGTTCAGTGCTACGAGTGCCGGCAGTCTCGCACGGCGCAAATTTGGTCTCGGCAGTCAGCGAGAGCGGCGGGAGATGGGGCACACCAAGTCGCTTGGGGACATCAATTCCAGCACGAGAGGAGTTGCTGAAAGTGGAAGTGCAGCTTCGGGACCCAGTTACCACGAAAGCCATGCTTCTTACAATCAGCCACTTCTCACTCCGGTTGCAGATTGGAACAAGGACCCCATGGAAGATGCTGGAATACTGGGCGGACTCAGCTCGCCGCAGGGTAGACGGAGTGGCTTCTTCAAACGCATGATTGAGACTGCCAAGACAACCGCGAGAACCGGCGCCGCAAATGCACGTTCCACGATTGGTAGTGCCAGTGGCAGTCGCCCAAGCAGTCGTGCTGGCAGTCGCAGTCCCACGAAGAGCCTCATCGGGAGCAACGGCATCACTGCGATCGCAGGTGGAATGGCTAGCCGCCCGGGAACTACATCTGGAATGACCTCCCGAGATATGGGTCTGAGTGGGGGAGGCGATTGGATGCAGGTGAGGCGCGACGTCAACCGCTCGAACTCACTCAGCCAAAGAGAGCGAGACGATCGTGCCGAGCGCTGCGAGATGCACGATATCCCCGTGATGCGCCCGATCGACCAGCTCCACGAGTACGTCGAGGGCGATGAAGGTCTCGATGGTCTACCCGTGGACGAGCCCACGGACTTCCAGTTGCCCAACCTTCAACTCGTTGACAAAAGTACGCGTTTCATTCATAGCATCCCCCCGATGACAACCGCCTCTTCGCTGGCGCAGAGCTTCGTGTGTCGGCCACACCGCAGTGACGTGCAAAGACTGCGTGCAATCTTCACATGGGTTTCAGAACGCATCACGTGGGAAGAAGACTATGAAGGCCAGATTGATACCCGCAGAGCGATTCAGACCAAACGCGCGTGCAGTGAAGAGATTGCACTGTTAGTGCGCGACATGTGTACTGCAGTCGGTCTGCACGCCGAGGTAGTTCGTGGTTACCTGAAGGGACCGGGCGAAGTGCTGGACCTGGACACCATTGCCCGTCCCAACCACTGGTGGAACGCCATGATTGTGGACGGAGAGTGGCGCATGATGGACTGTTCTCTCGCGAATCCGACGCATCCTCAACGAAGCACGTACAGCTCTGCCAGTAGTCAGGTTGCAGAGTCCTGGTACTTCTTGACGAGGCCCATGGAGTTGTGTTATACGCATATTCCTCTGCTGCCCGAGCAACAGCATTTGGTGCCCCCGATTGAGCATGAAGTGTTGATATCTCTGCCTTGCGCATGTCCCTCGTACTTCCGCAATGGCGTTGAGCTTGCAAACTTCCATACCAGCATGCTGCATTTGGAGAACCTGGAGATGGCGCACCTGCACATTCTTGTGCCTGAGGATGTCGAGGTCGTAGCTATGACCGAGTCGAGAGCGTTTGCACAGGATGCGGATGGAGATTACTTTGAAAGTGGCGACATCACCACCAAAAAGGCGTTTGCACAGGCCGAGTGGACTGGCGGCCGGAAGCGATTCACGGTGAAGGCACTCCTGCCCGGCGATGAGGGACAAGGCGTGCTGAAGATCTACGCGGGCAAACGTGGGCTCATGCACTCCATCAAGGACAATCCTCATGCTATGGCACTTGCCATGCCGCTCACTCATTCTGGTCAGAACCCACCCTACGACTTCTTGACACGACACCCCACGCCTCATGCGCAGCGTCACGACTTGTATGTCGCGCAGCCACAGTGTTCCCGACTGACACTGAACAATACCTTTGTCTTTTGCGTGCGACAACACCCCTCATCACTTTCCCGGTTCACTCCTGACACGTGGGGTGCTTCCTCTTCGGCACATGGTCGTGCTCCGTCGCCGGGGCCGTTGATGCGACCGTCGAGCGCGATGAGTATGGTCTCCATGACGACGTCCAACCAAGGCAGCAACTTTGGCTCCGAGTCTTCCGACCCGATGACAGCGGCACAACAGAAGCCCGCCAAGCTGGCTATACAGAGCCCGAGTCAAAAGATCATTCGACTGACGAGGAAGCAAGACAATGTCACGAGAAATGTGGAAGAAGACATGGGACTGACGACTATTTGGGAGACGGTGATTAAGATTGGCGAGAGAGGTACATGGAGAGGACTCGTGCTTGCCGATCGGAGCGCGAGGTGGTGCGTCTTTGCCGAGTGGGAGTGTACGTGACGATATTGATGATGATGATGAGGACTGATGATGACGATGTCGTCGACGATGAGAGAGCACCATGTGATGATTGAAGGTGTACGATACGTTTCTGACACGGGCATTGGGGATAGCATCGTCTAGCGAGTATTAGCATGGTGTTGTGGCGTCTCTTGCATGAGCTGGGCTTGACACAGCTGTAGAACTAATAGAGAATAATCACAAGTCGATCTTTTCCAGGCTGCTGTTTCTCACTGCAGTGATGTTATTGGCATTTGATGCTGATCAACACACCCGAAACACCTTTGTCGTCCACTGCAAGAGGTCCCGAGTGTATTGCCAAGGTCTTGGGTGACATGACTTAGATCAAATTAGATGACTATAACTTTATAGGGATACGGACTGGGATTCCTGTACATGTCCGACAAGGAATGGAGATTGTGCAGACTGCAGCAAGCCATTGTGATCCTGGAAGCTGGAACTACATGTACGCAATCTCATTTATTATTCTATACCTAGATGCTGCAGACTATTTTGCAGTTTTTCTCCCTCACAGGTTCAACAACATACATCCTACTACGAGGTAGTAGTGATACAGGACGATATACTCGAAACCACTACGACTGCTAGTACCACAACAGCAATAGAAAGGAGGAAGCACGGATAATCAAATAAACACCAGAAGAAACCAGAAAACACATTACAAACAAACAAACAACCCAAAACACAATCTCTCCTCTTCAACAAGATGCCGAATCCCATTACAACGACAACAACAACAACAGCCTCTATAGCCCTCCTCTCCCTCCTCCTCCCCTCCCTCTCCCTCGCAACCTCCATCTCATCTCCACAATGGGGAAGCAATCAACAATATCCACCCTCCACTCCCCCTTATTGCGCCGACGGAGGCGAATTGCATTGTTGCGAAATCACCTTTAATGGAGGAAATTCCGCTGTTGTTGCAGCTTCGGATTTGGCTTGTTATGATTTAACTCCTGCGACGATTAATTGTGTTATTGGTAAGTGGTAACCCTTTTCTGTACTCTACCTTGCACAGTCCCGAGGGATAAAAGATGTTGTTGTTATTTTTGTTATTGGTTACTGACACCCCCCTTTTTTTTCCTTTCTTTCGCACAGCTTCCGACCCCTTCACAAACGGCGGTGGTACCTGCAGCGGCAACTACGCCTGCTGCCAAGTCAACGATCTGGTACCCCTCCTAGGACTTTTCTGCTCAGATCCTCCGGGAGGCTGTGTGGGCTCTGCAGAGGGCAATGGGGAATGTACGGATATTTTGTCGAATGGGGATGGATTTCGATTTGGGCAGTGTGGGAAAAATGATGTGAGAAATATTCGGGGATTGTTGGGGTTGAGTGTTGGGGATGTGGATATTAAAAGGAGGGAGGAAGTAGTGGAGAAGAGGGAGGCTTTGCTGGAGGGGAAGAGGAGGGAGTTGGTGGAGATGGTTAGGATGGGGGAGTTGTAAGGGAGGAGGGAAGGGAAGGGAAGGGGGATGGAAGTTTCTAGTTTTTGGGTAGAGCTTCGAATGATTTGGGAGTGACAACTTTAGATACATCCATCTCTCCACGAGCTTATCGTTTGCTGGCTGGTTGCTTCTACGATGAAGGAAGGTCTTTGGAGCTTTCCCTCTTCCTGAGCGTTTTTGGGGCTTTTCGGCGAGGTCTTCGGCCATGACAGACATACAGTTTTTCAATACTAAGTCGGCCAATGGGGAGATTACCAATGAACTACTCATCTAGTCTTACGTACGTTTATTCACTTACTTAGAGAACGAACCTAGTTTTAGCCTAGTCCTATCGACTATCCCCAGGCATCATGGCGAGACGGGCTCCTTCTACGCACTCTGTTACTCAGACGTGCCTTGTTGTCTACGATTCCAAAAGAACACTTCTTTCATATAGACACATGGAGATCTAGCGAGTTCGTGATACGCACATGACAGTGAAGTCATGTCAAGTTGGATTAAAAAGATATACTAGTACGTTCTATGGAAAATCTTCTACGGAACTAATAGAAATACAATAATCATTACATCAAAAGACACATTTCCACCCGTGGTAACTGCTTCACGTCAAGTTGAATCCTGTCAAGCCAGACCTTGCTGGTCAAGCTACCTTGGATCGACTATTTCCTCCCGATTGAGGTTTCTGAATCTGCCCAACTTGAGAGTTGCGGGTCTGTGGCTCCGAAGCCAGGGAGCAGGCGCATACATATGACCTGTAGGGTTGTTCTGGTCTACAGTGTTGATGGTGCCTTCGCAAGCCAAACACTGATAGATCTCGGGGGGATACCCTTCGATACCAGAGGCGCCATAGTGGTCGATTTCCGCTCCGCACTATTTGACCATGTGTTAGTATCATGTACGACTCCAAGGGTGATCTTGTATACAGTACTTACTCGGCACGCGCGCCAAGATCCAGCTCCAATAACACGATCCTGCATCTCTGCTGCGGTGGCTTGACGTAGAGCAGTCCCGTCGGGCGTGACGAGATGTATGTTCTGCAACCAAATATCGTTTTGGTTCCTAGCCCCCTCCAATTCCTTCCATTTAGCTTCTCGATGAGTATGACAAAGTCGTAGTCTACGGACATCCCAGCTACGATGACCGTCCTGTGGGATGGGAAGTCCATCCTGTCCGGTCGGACCAGTCCGATCAGGCAGTCGTGCTGGTCGAGCGAGGTTAAGCTTGGAGTAGCATGTACAGGACGACCAAGGATAACTGTACCACTGGGATTTCTCTATCATTTCGTTCGTTCCGGGCAGATAGCTGAGATCACAGCCTGGGGCCTGAACCCATGCTTCGTACCGTGCTTGTGCCAACGTCTGCTCGATTCGCGCGCACTTTCGACACATCCTGGTCAAGAATTGATTGTGTCGATAACTGGGAGGGTCTGTTGGAGTGACATGACCACTCACAAACTCGAGAGGAGTTTGCCAGTTTGGAGGAATAGTGAAAGGCTGGATTCGAGGTGGTCCTACGGTCCGGAGACGCCGCCGATTCAGTTCATTAGGAGGTCCGTGAAGCTCCAACACATGCAGTCCGTCCGTGTTGCACGCATTGCAGACCGAGAACCCTCCATTACGATTGGAGAAGCCAGGATGGTAGCGGCTACACTGCTGTCGTGCTGTAGCACACCCTGGATGAGGTATGGCGAGCAGGGTATTGTGCTGAGGATTTAGCCGATCGTCACATGGCTCAGGAACCATATTGTTAGTATGTCCAGAAGAGTTTGGCTTGTCTCACGGAGCACGCTGGGAATCCAGGATGGTATAAGGAGAGCCATCATTTCATTCCTTACTGAATCCGGAGCATCTCGTTCTTTATTCATTGTGCACCCAAGGCAGTCGAGGACCAACAGTGGGTATCTAGCGACATCAAAGACCGAGATTACGGATGCAGATACGTCGTTATGAAAGAAGGGCGATGAAAGCACGTAGCCGATGACAGAGGAGCTGCGCAGCGCAGCGCTAAGGAGATGAGACTGGCGAGCTTTTCTTCTTCCGTGATGTATATACTTGATGTTGCACATCGACTCATGGGCGGAGTCCGTGACGAATGGAAATCGAAGACCAGGTCCTGAGTGAGTAGCCGAAGTACTGGTCTGTACCAGTAGAATCGCTCCCATATCTCATGCGCTTTTCGACGTCGGGTTCTCTTAGTCGGGCGGTGTTGGCAGCGCAGACAGCGGGATATCGGGTCAGGTGTCTTTCATATTGTTCATTGAGCGCCGAGAATGAAAGAACAAAGAGTTCCATTTCGTCGTCAGTAGACACAAGCATACTTCAAGCTGGCCATACTCGGTCGAGTAGCCAGTGCAAGCACCGAGAAGCGATTCATTCATGGCGGGCGCATGGAGCGGAGAAGGTGGTCTTACGGGGTCTTGGTATGTCCTAGGGGAGAGTAGGGTGGGGCTATACCGTGGATGTCGAAGAAGTACCTAGCCCAGGAACCGACATCACGTGGGTAGTGGAAGCCATGAAGATGAGGAAGGTGAAGTGAAAAGTCGTTGAAGTGAAGATGGTGAAGTGAAAAGTCGTTGAAGTGAAGATGGTGAAGTGGTATCGTCCGTGCATAAACAAGCTTTTGCCAGGATGATGCTCTAGGAGTCTAGTCTAGGTGGGTGGGTTGTGTTCGGAGGTAGCAATAAGTCCAAGAAGTCCAAGAAGCTTCGCCTCGATAACCACGACGCAGCACAAGCAGTGACAGCACAGCGCCCACCCTCCCCCACCGCTCGGCACTGCGCAGCACCGCGCAGCATCTCGGGATTAGGCAGCGCTGGAAACACGCCGCCCATGTCCTTCTGGCCCCGGGCATAATGCGTCGATATTGAGGAATTCTACGCCGTAGACATGTACATACCGACCGCATACGGGATCGCTCAGGGCAGCGCCGACCAGGCCCAGAATGGAGGCGGCTGGTCCAGCTTGATTGGCGTGGTGACGGCGATCTGTGGCAACGTGCTCATCTCGTTTGCCTTGAACACGCAGCGATATGCGCACATGCGACTGAGTCGAGACCGGGGCGCGCGAGTGCAAGAGAAACGCAGGAATAATGCGAGACGGAAACGGAGAAGCGACGAAGTGACAGAAGTACGCAACGAGGAACATAGGAAGCAGGAGACACTGGGCCATCGCGCTCTGGAGGACCGAGGAGCGACGGAGACGCAGCCATTACTCTCGAAGCAGGGCTCGAGGCAGCTGTCACCATCCTCATCTCCCTCCTCTCCCTCTTCCTCCTCCTACTCCTCGGAAGAGCTCGGCAAGGACGAAAAAGACGACGACGATGTCGAGGAAAAGTCATACCTCCGCTCGCCCATCTGGTGGCTCGGCATTGGCATGATGGTCGTAGGCGAAACGGGCAATTTCCTCGCGTATGGCTTTGCACCCGCCTCGATTGTGTCACCGCTGGGTGTGGTGGCCCTCATCTCGAATTGTCTGATTGCACCACTGCTACTGAAGGAGAAGTTCCGCCTCCGCGACGGGCTGGGCGTGCTGATTGCTGTCGCCGGAGCGGTCGTCGTGGTGCTCAGTGCCAGCGACAGCAACCCCAAGCTCACACCCGATGCCATATGGAGGCTCGTGACCACTTGGGAATTCGAAACCTACTTGGGAATCACTGTGGCCCTCATCATTGTCCTGACTGTGCTGAGCAACAAGTATGGCCAGAAGTCCATTTTGATCGATATTGGTCTGGTCGGGCTGTACGGAGGCTACACAGCGCTGTCAACGAAAGGTATCGCATCGTTGCTTACCTACAGCCTCTACAAGGTCGTAACCTTCCCTATCTCGTACCTGCTACTGGTCGTGTTGGTCGTGACCGCAGTAATGCAAATCAAGTATGTCAACCGAGCCCTGCAGAGGTTCAACTCGACAATGGTCATTCCCACTCAGTTTGTCATGTTCACCATCTCTGTCATTGTGGGGAGTGCAGTCTTGTACCGCGACTTTGAGCGTGAGAGTCCGGAAGACGCTGGCAAGTTTGTGGGAGGGTGTGCTCTGACCTTTTTTGGTGTATGGTGCATCACATCGGGGAGGAAGTCGGAACCAAATGACGATTACGGGAATGAAGAAGACGATGGGATCGGCCTCGCAGACGAAGAAGGCACGATGCCGGAGATCCGTGAACACGATGGCCCTAGCAGAAATATGTCATTGGTGGCCAACTCCATCAACGCACCACCCTCCCTCAGACGAGCTCAGACAGCAGAAGTTGGCTCGATCCCAAAGGTCCACATCAGGGCACCAACGCTCGGTACAACACCGCCCGGCGCCTCGGACTGGAACAAATATGTGCCTGAGATGCAGCCAGGTACTGCGAGCGCAGTACATCCAGATCCGGGTGTCCTCAACGGTAATGGCAACGACAACACCAATCCGAAGAAGCCCATCATGCACGCTACAACATCTGCACCTGTAGTCCCACAAACGCCTGACACGTCTTCGCGCCCGAAGACACCTTTAGCGCGCACACCTTCCGGTCCTGCCGAACGACCCAGTCCTCACAGAACACCGCTGAATCGCGGTCAGACCGTCGCGTCTATTGGGTCTCAAGGACTCCTCCAGCGCACATCCTCAATCCGCCTTGGACCTCTGACCAGTCCTCTCAGCGGCTCACTTGCGGCGATAGTGGCAGACGAGCTCCGCCGAGGTGTCGATAAGACTCCACTGGGGACGATGAAAAGACGACCATCACATCGACCTCCTCCCGTCGGCCGCCGTCCCACCGACCAGAATGAAGACAACAGACCTCTCATGTCGAGTTCTCTGAAACGCCATTCTATCGCGAGTACAGATGTGGAGTTTGAAAGCCAAGAGGCCGCGGATCTGCGAACTGCAGCGGGCAGTCCCCCCAATGGAAGTAGTCGAGTGAGGAGTCTGAGCGCCACCATCAGCGACATGTTTGGCTCGAGTGGTGGTGGAAGCGCATTGAAAAGGCAGCGTACGCTCGAGAGAGAGACAGGACGTCAAGCGGCTGCTTCGGAAGAGGGAAGGGAATAATCACATACACACGCACTGTTGTTCACAGTCCAGGATGGACATGTGCCAGCATAATCCTTTTTACCCTTTTTGTCGTTGCCACCTTGATGGAAGGATGGATGGATAAATGGCTGTAGATGTGATGATGATGATGATGATGACTTAGTTCAGTCAGTCAGTCAGTCAGTTGGGTGGCCCAAGTCGAATGTTCATGTGACGAAGATCTGAACGACAAGAAGCTGGCTCGCTGACTTGAACGATGAAACAATAACAGATGAATGAGAGATTTCATGAGCATGAAATTGAACATCCAGAAGAACTTCAAAACTTGTCAGGTATCGAGTGGAGTTCACATTGGCGGGGCGTGTTCTTTCTTCTGAATTGGGCATACAGAACGGAGTCAAGTATGGAATTAGGTAATTCTATAGCATGAGATAATGGATGTTTATTATAGATGTTAAATTGTCTACGCAAAGAGAGAGAGAGAGAGAGAGAGGTTTCCGCAATACATGTACCTACTGTACTGTAGGCTGGGACTGTGATGTTGTTGCTTCCTCGTGGTACTTTATGCTCAGTTACACGCCTGTCTTGTCTTCATTTTCTCATTTCTGATGATCATCAGGTAAGCTACTAGTAGAATCTTCTCCTATTCATCGCCCGCCACCTCATATACGCCTCGCTCAAACTCGCATTGTGCAGAAATGCATTCTTTTTTTTTTTTTCCTTTTTTTT